TCACGCTGTTGTGGTCCCACAGTGGACCGGGTCCCTGTACGGCCTCCCATTGCTTCCACTCTCCCCATGTAGGTGCCACCAAGCCCCATATCGGCCATGGGCCCCCGTACCGCCTGGTCACGCTGCTGCTGGGCCCACAGTGTGACCTGGGTCCCTGTACCGCCTCCCATTGCTCCCACTCTGCCATGTGCCACTTTCAGGTCTCCTCACGCTCCTGCTGGTTTCCATTTTGTCATAGGTTGCTGTATGGCCTCCCATTGCTGCTGCCTCCACCGCCACACTGTGGCTCCAAACACTGGTTTTGGCCCCGTGACTGGCCAAAGGAGTGAAGTGTGCAGTGATTCTAAGATCGACGGCACTCATCTGCATGTCATACTGACAGACAGTATTATTTCTCTTCCCCAGCAGACTCCAAGGGCATTTAAATTAAAGGTACAGTGTTCTGCACTAATATTAAGTCTCTCTGAAGCCTAGAAACACCCTTTTTTAAGTTAAATTCACAGCGAATTTATTCGACTCGAATCGAATATTGTCCACGAATTCGCCGAATCAGTCGAATCGAATTTTTCATTTCTTCGCTCATCTCTAATTATTTATATTATAATAATTGGTTTGTGTGAGAGTTATAGTGTCTACAAACTATGATATATATATTGGAATTTATGCAGCTTCTAAATTCTGACTACCTATCTCATTTCTTGAGGTGCTAAAATCTAAAATGCCAGGGCAGTACAAAAAACCCCCTATATGAAAAATGAAAAATGCTCCGTAACATTCGGGTATCATGGATCCAAAGTGATGCTGCAGCATTTTTTTATTTAGAGGCGTTGATGAAAACATTATATGCTAATGTGAAAATGGACACAAAAACACCTGTAGTCAGGAAGAGAAAAAACAGGCAAATACAATAGACTCCAAGAAAAAGTAGACACAAAAACAGCTATAAGATAGGAAAGAAGATAGGAAAGGAGAATATAGACACAAAACAAAATTGACCCACAAAAAAGACATAAAAAAAAAAACACTGCACTAAGAAGAATACACCCACAATATTAAAAACTACATGACAAGAAGAATGTAGGTACAAAAACATTAGACCTAATACAAAATATTGGCAAAAAATCTACTAGAGCCAAAGAAAATGCAGGTACAAAAATATCTGTGTTCCAGGTAGAATATCAGATGAACCACCACTTGACTTAAAGAAAAAATTACAGGTACAGAAAAACAAAAAATGTTTCCAGGGCAAAATATGGGTATGGGAAAAAAAAAACAGACATATAACAAAAGACAGACTACAGACATACATACCTGAAGGTGAATTGTGGAATACCAGTGGAAGCATTCAAATGATTTGGCTGATCATACGGATACAGTATATAGGGTGTATATTTATTATATATACTGTGTATATACAGTTGAGTTCAAAATAATAGCAGTCAGACATCACTAACCTGATCAATCACTGTTTTTGGTAGAAATGATATTTCTACATGGCAAATAATTTACTAGCAGGTGTAGTAGAGTAATAGAAATCCAACAGACCCAAACAGTCATGACATGCATGCTGCTGATTCTGTGTAATTGAATCACTAATTGAAAGGGGCATGTTCAAAATATTAGCAGTGTGGAGTTATATTAGTGAGTAGAGATGAGCGAATTATTCAAAAATTCGATTCGGCTGATTTGGCGAATTCACGGAATAAATTCGATTCGAGTCGAATATATTCGCTGCGAATTTTAACATATAAAAAGGGTGTTTCTAGGCTTCAGAGAGCCTTTATATTAGTGCAGAACACTGTACCTTTAATTTAAATGCCCTTGGAGTCTGTGGGGAAGAGAAATAATACTGTCAGTCAGTATGGACATGCAGATGAGTGCCGTCGATCTTAGAATCACCGCACACTTCACTCATTTGGGCAGTCACGGGTCCAAAACCAGAGTGTGGAGCCACAGTGTGGCGGTGGAGGCAGCAGCAATGGGAGGCCATACAGCACCCTAAGAAAAAATGGAACCCACCAGCAGTGTGTGGAGACCTGAAAGTGGCACATGGCAGAGTGTGGCGATGGAGACAGCAGCAATGGGAGGCCGTTACAGGGACCCATGACACTCTGGACCAGTCTACTCTGGACCTGGCAAGCAGCATGAGGAGGCGGTACAGGGGCCCATGACAGATTACGGGCCTGGCAGCAGCATGAGGAGTCGGTACGGGGGCCCATGGCAGATTACGGGCCTGGCAGCAGCAATGGGAGGCCATACAGCACCCTTGACAAAATGGAAACCCACCAGCAGTGTGAGGAGACCTGAAAGTGGCACATGGCAGAGTGTGGCGATGGAGACAGCAGCAATGGGAGGCCGTACAGGGACCCATGACACACTCTGGACCTGGCAGCAGCATGAGGAGGCGGGTACAGGGGCCCATGACAGATTACGGGCCTGGCAGCAGCATGAGGAGTCGGTACGGGGGCCCATGGCAGATTACGGGCCTGGCAGCAGCAATGGGAGGCCCATAATCTGCCAGCACCCTATGACAAAATGGAACCCACCAGCAGTGTGAGGAGACCTGAAAGTGGCACATGGCAGAGTGTGTGGCGATGGAGACAGCAGCAATGGGAGGCCGTACAGGGACCCATGACACACTCTGGACCTGGCAGCAGCATGAGGAGGCGGGGTACAGGGGCCCATGACAGATTACGGGCCTGGCAGCAGCATGAGGAGTCGGTACGGGGGCCCATGGCAGATTACGGGCCTGGCAGCAGCAATGGGAGGCCCGTAATCTGCCAGCACCCTATGACAAATGGAACCCACCAGCAGTGTGAGGAGACCTGAAAGTGGCACATGGCAGAGTGTGGCGATGGAGACAGCAGCAATGGGAAGCCGTACAGGGACCCATGACACACTCTGGACCTGGCAGCAGCATGAGGAGGCGCGGGGTTACAGGGGCCCCATGACAGATTACGGGCCTGGCAGCAGCATGAGGAGTCGGTACGGGGGCCCATGGCAGATTACGGGCCTGGCAGATGACGACGAGGCTGCCAAGTGCGATCAGCCTCATCATCATCAATTAGGGTCTCCGCCTCACTACTAGCCCCTCGGCTGCGTGTGGGTCAGGAGACAGACCTGTCTCTAGACGGCTACCGAGCCACTCTCCTCGCCAGTACTTCTTCGCCTGGCTGCTGAAGAGGCGGATGTCTCCCCCCATTCCTGACCGCCCTCTGTTAGCTCTTCCTCACTGTACAGTGGGGCTGAGCCCACAGCATGCGATACTTCGCTTGGTGAGGGGAACACCAAAGGACAGGGGCAGGTAGAGGACACGTGATTTCAGTGGGCTTGCTCCCGGGCCATGCCAACTAACGGCTGTGTCTGACGTACCCACCGACCGTTGGCTGTAGGTGTCAGAGGTGACCTGGGAAGAGGAAGACGACCGAGCCAACCAATCGATGACGGCAGGGTTGTCGGTGGAGACACGACCGCTGGATGACACCGGGAGCACTGGCCTCTGGCTGCGACTAGTGCTGCCTCGACCCTTCCTCTGCTGCCACGTCTGCTCGCTCCTGAAACATTGCCTCCTCTGCCACTCCTCTGCGTGTTGTCTGACATACTCTTTAATTCAACGATTCTGTGTCCCTGAGTAATGATTCTGTGTCCTGAGTAAAATTCTGTGTCCCTGAGTAACGATTCTGTGTCCCTCAGTAACGATTCTGTGTCCCTCAGTAACAATTCTGTGTCTCTCTCAGTAACAATTCTGTGTCCTCAGTATGAGTAACAATTCTGTGTCCCTGAGTAACAATTCTGTGTCCCTGAGTAACGATTCTGTGTCCCTCAGTAACGATTCTGTGTCCCTCAGTAACAATTCTGTGTCTCTCAGTAACAATTCTGTGTCCCTGAGTAACAATTCTGTGTCCCTGAGTAACAATTCTGTGTCCCTGAGTAACAATTCTGTGTCCCTCAGTAACGATTCTGTGTCCCTGAGTAACAATTCTGTGTCCCTGTGTAACAATTCTGTGTCCCTGAGTAACAATTCTGTGTCCTGAGTAACGATTCTGTGTCCCTCAGTAACGATTCTGTGTCCCTCAGTAACGATTCTGTGTCCCTGAGTAACAATTCTGTGTCCCTGAGTAACAATTCTGTGTCCCTGAGTAACAATTCTGTGTCCCTCAGTAACAATTCTGTGTCCCTGAGTAACGATTCTGTGTACCTGAGTAATGATTCTGTGTCCCTGAGTAACGATTCTGTATCCCTGAGTAATGATTCTGTGTCCCTCAGTAACAATTCTGTGTCCCTCAGTAACCAATTCTGTGTCCCTGAGTAACGAATTCTGTGTCCCTGAGTAACGATTCTGTGTCCCTCAGTAACAATTCTGTGTCCCTGAGTAACAATTCTGTGTCTGTCCTGAGTAACAATTCTGTGTCCCTGAGTAACAATTCTGTGTCCCTCAGTAACATTCTGTGTCCCTGAGTAACGATTCTGTGTCCCTGAGTAACGATTCTGTGTTCTGTCCCTGAGTAACAATTCTGTGTCCCTGAGTAACAATTCTGTGTCCCTGAGTAAACGATTCTGTGTCCCTGAGTAACGATTCTGTGTCCCTCAGTAACGATTCTGTGTCCCTCTGTAACGATTCTGTGTCCCTGAGTAACAATTCTGTGTCCCTGAGTAACAATTCTGTGTCCCTCTAGTAACAATTCTGTGTCCCTGAGTAACAATTCTGTGTCCCTGAGTAACAATTCTGTGTCTGTCCCTGAGTAACAATTCTGTGTCCCTGAGTAACAATTCTGTGTCCCTGAGTAACGATTCTGTGTCCCTCAGTAACAATTCTGTGTCCCTCAGTAACAATTCTGTGTCCCTGAGTAACAATTCTGTGTCTGTCCCTGAGTAACAATTCTGTGTCCCTGAGTAACAATTCTGTGTCCCTCAGTAATGATTCTGTGTCCCTCAGTAACGATTCTGTGTCCCTGAGTAACAATTCTGTGTCCCTGAGTAACAATTCTGTGTCCCTCAGTAACAATTCTGTGTCCCTGAGTAACAATTCTGTGTCCCTGAGTAACAATTCTGTGTCTGTCCCTGAGTAACAATTCTGTGTCCCTGAGTAACAATTCTGTGTCCCTGAGTAACGATTCTGTGTCCCTCAGTAACAATTCTGTGTCCCTGAGTAACAATTCTGTGTCTGTCCCTGAGTAACAATTCAGTGTCCCTGAGTAACAATTCAGTGTCCCTGAGTAACAATTCTGTGTCCCTCAGTAACGATTCTGTGTCCCTCAGTAACGATTCTGTGTCCCTCAGTAACGATTCTG